GAGAGAGAGAGAGAGAGAGAGAGAGAGAGAGAGAGAAGGAGCGGGGTGGGTGACAACTAAAATGACTTCAGTCTTTACATCATCTGGGGAGATGGCACTTAGACACAGTTTCTCTCATGGTGGATTTAAAAACATTTTCGAAACAGTATGTTTCAAAAGTTTTAGGGGTGCTATCCTGGGAATATAGAAATAAGAACCCCCATTAAGTTTTACTGGAATACAGATTCAACAGCAAGAGAACTTCAAAGTGGGCCTGCTAGTCCACCAAAAACAACCTGATAGAAAAAGCAAAAGAGAATATTGAGCAAAACCCTCAAATATGTGCTGTACACACAGGCACACATAGAAACACCCTGAAGCCATAAGACTTATGCCCACATCAACTGTGGACATAGAGAAAAACTGAATCCTGCAACAGCATGTCCTGGGGTCTGGGGGAAGGGAGGGATTTGAAATTCACGTGTTGTAGGCACTGACTTTGCCCGTGCATTCCCAATGCACGCACATCTGTGTAAGGGCATGATGCATGGTGATAGCTTCTAACCAATGAGCAATGATGAGGCTCAAACCAGCATAGTTAAGCACAGGACCTGTGACAGAGTCAGTAATCAAAAACTGTTATCTGAAGTTTTTATCCAGAGACTTAAAACAGCATGTGGGGGCTTTTCTGCGGTGATAAACATTTTAGTTATAGCCAGTAGTTCCCTTTCCTGGGGGACCAGTTGTGACCATAATCTGTAATTGCTGTCATCCTTGACTGCTTTCTCATGTATGTGTTCTCCTGCACAGGTTGGGAGAGAACTCTGGGAATTGAGCACGATGGCAGCATTGCACATCACAGTGATGCTTCTTGGCAGTATTGATAGTGTGGTTCCCAAGCAGGGGAAGAACAAGCTTGCTGTGGATCTGTGCACAGAGATCTGCACCACACTGCAAGGGAAATGCCTGTTGAATGGCATCTCTTCGTGGTCTAGTCAACATTACCATTTAGGGCAGTGATCAGAATGACTTGTCTATTCCTTTAGTACTAAAGGAGATTATTCGGTGACCTCATTGGTTTCCCAAAAAAAATCCCTGTGTCTAGACTCAATGCCATTCTTAAAAGTGAAGATCAACTATGACTCTAATTAGTTTGGATTACAGATTTTTTTTTAAATTTGTGTGTGGAAGCCTGAGATTGACACCAGGAATCTTCCTGAATCACTGGCCACCTTATTTCTCAAGACAGGGTCTCCCACTGAACCTGGAACTCACCAATTCAGTGATGCTGGCTGGCTAGCACGATCCAGGGTTTGCCTCTCTCACCTGACTCCATCTTCCCAGTACTGAGATTAGAGATGAGCTACCACACTCAGTGTTTGGTTGGTTGGTTGTTCATTTGTTTGGTTTGGTTTTTGAGACCAAATTTCTTTGTGTATCCCTGACTGTCTCCTGAAACTTGCTCTCCAGACCAGGCTGGCCTCCAACTCAGAGATCTGCCTGCCTCTGCCTCCCTAGTGCTGGAATTGAAGGTATGCTCCACCACCGACCAGCCCATACTCAGCTTTTGACATGGATGCTAGAGATTCAAACCCCTACTTTTGCTGAGAGCACTTTGGCAGTGTGGCATCTTTATTAGTTAATAGTTAGAGGAGCAGTAGCAATCTTAGTTCAATTGAGGGAACAGTTATTAAAAAAAAGACCAGAGATCCATAAGGTATGGATGACTGTGTACATCCTTAGGCTAGCAGTGGAAAGGTCTATACTCTGTCCACATTTACACATGTAAAAGGTAAGTGTTTACATACAGAAACCACATAATTAGTGAGACCCACCAACAGTGCTCGCCATTCTCACTGGGAATCAATATAAGTCACAGGGGAAAGTTTTCCATGTTTAAAGTTAAACTAGAACTCTACCTCAACAACATCTCAGTGAATATGTTCTATCTATGCAATGGCAATATTCGGAAAATATTGAATTAACAGAGTAAAATGTAACCCAATGTCAAATCAGAACTGGTGTGGGTATTTCAACAAAATGTTGCTTGCTTTAAATCATTATGTAATCAGAAACAGCACATCTTCAGTGCTGTTTCCAAAGTGATGGTGAGGAAGGGATTTGATCTGCAGTACTTGAGAGCTTAAAAGAAAACAGGCATGATCGATCTTGGGATTACATTGTCTAAGCAGGGCTCAGCTGCAGGCGCTTCTGAATCTTTTGTCTTTCTGATCTTTGAGGAATCAAACCATGGGGTGAGGCTGGGAGTGCCTGGGTGAGGGTGTATGTCTGTGGGAGGGGTGCTCAGTACCTCCTCTCAGTACCAACCTCCAGGAGGAGAAAGGCATGGATGGTGCTCACTCTTCCTGTTGACAGAGAAGTCAGGCACATTCTCAGGCTGTTTGCTTCCCAACAGCACCTCCTCTCTCTGCTGTTAGGAGAGCTGCTGTACCAAACAGATATTGTGCTCTCCCCAGCCCCAGGGCCGGCCCTTCCCACCCACAGCACGTAGTCTATGGGCATGAATCTAAGGGTGTTTAATACTGTACCCTTCTTCCCCAAAATTTACTCCACCACTCCTGAAATTTCACCACTAAAAGGTTTTTGTTTTTGTTTTGTTTTTTTTAACCAGGGACACAGAGCTTGCTTGACAAATGCCCTACCAATGAGTTACATTCATAGCCCCTCTGCATTTTTTTAAAATTTATTTTGACAGTCTTTGGAATTGTACACTAAACACAGTCTAGTTGTCCAAGCTGGACTTCAATAAGCAGCTGGGATTACAGCTAACTGAAAATTCACATTTTTGAGCCAAAAGTCTGTTGCTCTTGGGTCATCCATGCAGAGTACCCATCTTTACCCCCCTTCTTTAGGAGACACAGTACATTAAGCTCTCCATATGCTTTCTGCTGTCATCCCGACTAGATTATCAGATAAATTCTGTTCCTTTGGAAAACAGAAGCAAGTATGAGTGGGAAAGGGGGCAGGAATACGGTGGGAAGTTCAGTCTGTCTGAGAAGCAGACAAAATCCAAAGCATATTCACCCTGGTAAGGTAACACAGCACAGGGGCTTTGAGTGGCCAGATAATGAAATGATGGGCCTACGTGGGGGTGGGGAGCGTATAAAGAGGAAGAGCCTTTGCAAAACAAGGACTGTTCCTGGCCCTTCCAATGAGCCTTGCTAGTAGAGGTAAAATACCTTCCAACAAAAAACACAAACATGCAAGTCATCCCCCACCCCAACTACCCCTCTTCCTACCCAGTCCTCCTCTCATTTTAAAGACCTGCAGTTTCTATCGCAGCCTCTAAGGTTTTCTGTGAGCCATTCACAAACAAAAAAGCACAAGGAAGCTAGAGAGAGTTCTTTGGCCAAATGATCATGTACCAGATTTCCCAATTCTGACACCCAAGCCTTGGATTTGGCACATCAATAAAACTTTGTCATTGTGTTGGCTGGAAGCCAGTGAATAAATCTCTTGAGAACTGCAAAGATGAGCACAGGCTATTCGCACTCACCTTGTCAAGGAAGATATAGTATATTCTATGTCATTCACACTCATGGTTAAAGATAGATCATAATTTTTGGAATCAATTTTTTTTTCTTTTTTAATTCCTTTTTAGATCTAGATAAATGTTTACTTCCCTTATGTAGGTCTTTACTCTTTAAGACACCTGCAAGTGTTTTTTAGTGTACAATACAACCTATGAGATACTAACATGATCCCAGTAGAATTGGTTTCCCAGAAGATGACACTCCAGTCCCTCAAACCACCTGATGCCACTGCTTCCAAGTCAAGGAACGTCCCTATTCACTCAGGGGCTGCAACACTCTGGGGATACTTGCCCAGGCCAATTTTCATAAACAGGCCCTAGAAACTCAGCAAAGACTCTACCTTCATGGATGTTGGAAGGATGACTGTGGTGTTTGTTATCTGTTTTCCCACAACAGGAACAGGCAAGGTGGGAAGGATAGAGCAGAATTGACAACTAAAACAGGGAGAGAGAGAGAATTATTAAAAGTTTCCTAGGGCTGTCCAACCCAGGTTCTTGAATTAAGATGGGCTGTAGGACTCCAACTTTTCTGCCTTTTCTACATTTTGACAAAAGCATGACATTCATTTAGATCAGTACCAAAGTGACATTATTAATATTTCAGGGTTCATCAGTGTTTGCTGATGAAGTTAACTCTGCACATAATAACAGTTCTAAGTAGTTTTGTTGTGTAAAGATAAGGATAAAAGGAGAGGAAGAGAAAAAACACACCTTAGACACTTTGTCTCAGTCAATTTAATTTTTCAAACAAGCTACAAACAAAATGATAAAGTCATTATACATCTATTATCCTAAATACAATGTTTTACAAAAAAAAAATTGCTTAGTCTCACAGAAACTATTTTTGCTAAGACAGAAAACAACAGAAATTTCCATAGTTTATCAATGAATTACAAAAATAGCAAAACAATTAACAGTAAAAACAATCAATGCCCCTTGGGGGTTGGGGGTGGGGGAGACTAGGTTTTTATCTTTTCACAACTTGTTTTGTTTCCATGATTCCACATTTTGAAAAACTTTTTTTTTACATTATTGTTTTTCTTTTACACTTAGTACTGTAAGGACAAAGCTTTGAAGAAGGAAAGTTATGACCGACTTTCCAAGATGTAATAATGAACCAGTGTCCAGGCTCCTCCTTCATCGGCCAAGAAGGGAGCTGCAGAAACCTGCAGCTTCAGCAGCCTGGCTCAACTCGGCGACTCAAGAGCATCTTTGCTTGTGAATCAAGAAGATTAGCTAGTTTTAGCAGAGATCATCCTTGAGAAGGCCACCCAGATTCTCTTTCCAGTTACTCATATCCCAGGAGCAATTCCAGAGACATTAAGAATCTCAGCCCAGAATACATGAGACTCACTGAAGCCATGTATACTGCATGGGGTTTTCCATTCTCTGAGCTGAAAATTGGCAGAAGAATGAAAAAAGAAAAGAGAAAAAAAGAATCTCAGAATGTGGGGAAACCTCAGAGAAGAGAGTCAGCAGGAGATCTCAGCCCTTTTCTACAAGATAATGTTTCTATGGAGAAATGTCTCTTTCAGACTTTTGTGGATCAGAGAGACAGTATTTCCCCTGTACAAGGCTAGTGTCTCTGAAGAATTTTGATCTTGACCCAGCAAAAGCAATCTCTGCATTTGGTGTTCGGAGTCTCAAGAGGAAAGGTAAAACAAGTGGTCATTACTGAAAGGGTCCCAGTAATTACTTTAATGGGAGAGAGTGATTTTATGTGAAGGTCTTTGTGACAAGTCAGGAAGAAACAATCACAAAGGAAAGTGTTTTCACAGCTTGTGACAAGGTAATGCCAATAAATAGGAATGGTGCCTTGATCATTCATCACAGAGACCCTAATACTTGAATTGACCATATAATTTATCGTCCGAGCCAAGATTCTGGGGAGAGGGAAAGGAGCTGCAATTAACAATTATGCTGGAACAACAGGTAGGAACAGTTTAGACAAATGACAAATGCTCACCCTGTTAATACTGGAGGTGAGATTGTGGGAGAATGCTGGCAGGCAGTTATCTAAGTAATGTTTACCGTGTGCGAATGGGCTTTCATGAGGGGAGCTTACCACACACTCACTTTAACTGAGTGGTTAGTGATGTCCCAGCCATGTCTCCTTTTAACCGATTATTAAATCAGTAAGTCTTGCCGTTAAAAAAAAAAAAAAAAAAAAAAAAAAAAAAAAAAAAACCTTTTTGAACATTCATTATTGTGTGAGTATCTTTGTGCATGGGGCGGGAGTCAGGAGTTTGGGCATACACATGTGCGGAGAAGAGGAAAACTCTGAAGTCAGTTCTCCCCCTCTGCCATGTGAATTCTGGGGGATTGAACTCAGGTTTTCAGGCTTGGCAGCAAGTGCCTTTAGCTCTTAACCTACTGAGCCATCTCAACAACCAACCTCTGCACCCAGCCAGATCCTGCATGTCCTTCTCCAGGGTCTAGCCTGGTGAATCTGCCTGATCCACCTCTCCATGTGCCCTCCCCAACTCCCAGATCTACCTTCACATTCCAGTGTCGAGTCAGGATGTGCATTCTGCATATCAACCCTGTCCCCTGTGTCCACCTGACTTCATTCTGCCTAAGTCATTTCCAACCTCTAGGCCCCACCTGCCTATAAGCTCTCTTCAGCCCCAACCTGCTCTTTCTGTGTTAGACACTGAAATAACAAATGAAGCCCACATGCCCAGATCTTAGCCCAAACCCACAGACAACAGGAAAGATCAAGCCCGTGTCTCTTCTACAAAAGCTCCCAGTCCTTTAAAAATGTTTGCAGCCAGGCGGTGGTGGCACACACCTTTAATTCCAGCACTTGGGAGGCAGAGCCAGGCGGATCTCTGTGAGCTCGAGGCCAGGCTGGTCTACAAAGCGATTTCCAGGAAAGGTGCAAAACTACACAGAGAAACCCTGTCTCGAAAAACCAAAAAATAAAAAAATAAAATAAAAATGTTTGCCAATGATAATTACCTAGATAAACCCCAAGACACAGAATTTAAAAGAACAACGATCACAGACATCATCAAAGAACTCAAGGAGTTTAAGGAAGACACAAAGAAACAGCTGAATGAACTTAAAGAGAAAGAAGGTAAAGAGAGTAAGTGCCTGTGTGATGCCCAAAGAAAACACAAATGACAGAGACAATCCAGGACTTGAGAAAAGAATTCAACAAAGAAAACACTGAAAAAGACTGAAGCCGAAATCAAGATGGAATTGAAAAACCCAATAACCAACTAGAAAACTCAACTTACAAGTAGATGAATCAAGCAGAAGATAGACTATCCAGACTGGAGGGTAAAGTAGAGAATTTAGACAAAATGAGCAAGGAATATGAAAACAATTCTTTAAGTAGAAGAATGGAGCAACCAGGAAATGTGGGACACCATGAAAAGACCAAACCATCTCATTATGGGCATAGATGAGGAAGAAGAGTTCCAAGTGAATGGCAGGTCTTCATCAAGGTCCTGCCGAGCCATCTCACTGGCCCAGCCTTATCTATTCAAGGGGCTTATCTCGTTTATATGGCAGGCATGCTGTAAAGGGCACTGGCTCTTGCTCATTTTTTAATACTGGAAACCAGTTATTCAAAGATTATCATCGGAATAGGAATACCCATTTAATAAAGTGTACTTGACTTACCTGGACAATGGGAGTTTTTCAATCTTTCGGTACTTGTAATGATTTAAAGGTGATGTTCATTCCAGATCCACTTGGGGATAAGAGACAATATTACACAGTTGAAATACAAAATGTTTGGTGAATAAGTGAATGGCAAGAACTCAACAAAATAAGTGACTAAAAATACAAACATACATTTAAAAACATAGATTTATTTGTATTCAACTCTTCCTATAAGAGATAAATCACAGGAAAGCCTAAAAATTGCCAGTCTCTAGAAATCACGGCAAGCAAGCTGGTATGCAAAATCTACAGAAGCGTGTACCTCTCTGTAGGACAGTGCACTTCAAAGATGGAAGTCTTCCTCTTCTTTTCTTTTTTTAGTATTAAAAAACTGGGTTAAACCTATTTTGCCATTTAATTAACATATCCTTTCCCTTCCGTACATAATACATCATCTTGGCATAGGAATTTGAATCTGGTATAGAAGAAAACCCACCAACAAAATAAGAATTGGAACTGGGTCAGGAGGTAGCTCCATAGCACAGAGCTTGCTGGTATGAGTGAGTTCCTAGGTTTTCAAGAGGCAGTAGGAAGATCCTTGGAATCTGTGTAAAAAAAATCATAAAAGACTGGAGAAACTAGGGTTCAGAAAATCAAAAGGACAGTTAAAGAAGACAACCTGGGAAACAATGGGTAAAGAATACATGGAGTTATTTATACTACTTTTGCAAATATTTGTGAGTCTATAATAGTTTCTAAAGAAAAGGTTGAAACAGGTTTTTTGTTGTTGTTTTGTTTTTAACTTATAGACAGGAGAAACTTTTAATGGAGAAATAAACTGTCTTAAGAATTTCATGTAATGAGAATATGCTAAAGAGAACTTCTTGCCATCTCTTTTGAAAACTCAGAAAATTCTTGTAAGCTACTCTATAACAATCTTTTTCTTCTGAATGTTAGAGATGTATTAAATGAGACAAAATGGCTGTTTTGTGTATTCTAGGGCAGATAAATCATAAGCAAATATTAGTCAAGTTCGTAGGCAGCATATCAGGTGATGCTGAAAATAAAGCTGGGTAAAGGGGCCGACTGAGACAGCCTCGTGCTCCAGACTCTTTGCTCAAGGAAGATTTTCTGATAAGGTGACCCATGGGCAGGATAAAGGAAAAGAGCAAGCCAAGAAGAGTGTTCCTGGCAGATAGTGTAAGTACAAGGGTTCTAAGGCGAGCATGTTCCAAAAGCAGCCGGGTCACTGTGACATGAAAACAGTGAAGGGGGAAAGGATGAAGTGAGTTCAGAGATAAAGGGTGGGTCTAAGAGGCATTGCAAGCCTTACAGTTCATGGAAAGGACTTTAGATTTTTATGCTGAGTGTGACAGAAGCCATTTGAGAATGTTGTGCAAAGCAATGATACACTGTAATTTATATACACACAGATTTTTAGATAAGTTTGATAAAAGTCTATATTGTTCCAAGTCAGGTGACTGGTGTGATGCTGGACTAGGGTTTCAGAGACAGAGCTAAAGAAGGTAATCAAATTCAGGATATATTTAGACAGGAGAGCACCAATGGAGTTGTCATTTATCGACATGAAGAGGATGGGAAGAGACGGGTGGTTCTGTTTATTCTGGACTCATTGGGTTTGAGATGACTATTACAAAGTAAAATAGTGCTGTCAGTGTCAAAAAGACAATGAATCTGTAAGTCTAGGTACAAAATGGAGTTTGAGCAGATTTCAGCATGGTGATGTTATTCAAAGTTAAGGGCTATCTAATATCACTAACAAATGAGTTTAAAGAAAGAAGATAGATGTCTCCAAGAACTGAGTCATGAGCAAGCCAACACTCCAAGGTGAAGATAGTAAAGAAGGAGACGTTGTAACGTAGGGGAAGATCCAAGAGACTAGGAGAGCAGAGGAGTAACAGGAAAATTGAAAGTCAAGGGGGAAGGAGAGGGATCTGTAAATGGTATGTGGAGTGAGTAGAAAATGTCTTAATAAAGAAAAATGAAAAAAAATTGAAAGTCAAGGAGGCATTTAATCATTGAATTGAGAAGATGAGAACCACTGATTTTGCACGTAAATACCATGACCTTGGAAAGAGGAATTAGGGAGAACATTTGGTCACAGCTGAAATTCTGAGAGGAGTGAGATTGAGAATGAACGAGGGCAAGATGGCTTTATGAAGTAAGGGAAAGGTTTTTAAGAATTGCCGCAAAGAAGTGTGGAGAAATGGAGCAGATATGGAAGAAGTGTGGAGGCGAACAGGGCTTCTTGGGTTTTGTTCTTTGAGACTGGAGACATACTGTACTTACGAGATAATACAAATGATCCAGAAAACATGGGTACTTTCTTAAAGAGATGGGGGCAGGAGTTTCACTTAAACAACTCGAAGTCTCTAAAGTGAGCACAAGGAGGTTGGGGCCACATCGTGCTGGATTAATTACAAAGAAAATGGGGGTGGCTGGGGACATACCTCAGCTGGGAGAGTGCTCACCGAGGGCGTGTGAAGCCCTGGTTATGTCACACCGAAAATCCCAGCACCTGGGGTGTGGAAGCAGGAGGATCAGGAGTTCAAGGTCATCCTCAGCTACATATCGAGCTCAAGGCCAGCCTGTCTCCAAAAAATTAGTTTATTTGACCTAAGAAGAAAGTGGTTGACAGACAACACACAGTAGTGTTAGTATGATTTCTTAGTGACAACCTTATCTAAGCCCTGTTGATGCTGGGAAATAGAGGAAAGAGTGAGCAAAGGAACAGGGGACTCAGGAAGCCTCAAAGAGGAGACTGAGAAAGAGACTGGAGCTGGGTCCGAGAGATACAACTTGAGCAGCTGAACCAAAAAATTGGTCTGGGAAGTTTTGTTTAATGTACAGTTTGATTAATGTTTTAAGAACTATTTCTAATATATTGAAGTGTGGTGTGCTTGGTATGAAAACAGTCAGACAAAATAGTGCATAGGATAAAAAAAATGAACACACATTTTCTTTCTCCCCTGAGTGTACCCCTATTAACACTTTGGTATGCATTCTTATATATGTATGTGTACACCATACATATACATATCTATATACTTATGATTACTTTACAAAAGCCAGATCATATACTATTTATACTATTCTGTAATTTGTTCTTTATACATAACAATGTCTTTTGTACTTTCCCATCTCTATAAAACTAGCTCTGCCTTCTGCCTTATAAAAATGTGAATAGATAATAGACGAATATGATACACTATATATAGGACAACAGGATAGTCTTCCAGTCTTCCAGCCAACTTCTCCCCAGAGAAAACCACTATTAGCACTTCCTTGAATGTCTTTCCACAGTCACACAATGCATAGAAACATACTGAACATGCATATGTATGTGCATATACAAACAGTAGCACACCACACATATTTTTCTGTACTTTGCCTATTAAAGGCCAGTTATATATCTTGAAAGTGATTCCATATAGAGAACTACCCCATTCCCTTAAATGACAACATAGTGTTCTATTGTATCTTTATTTTATCAAATTCCATACTTGGGCATTTCTAATTTTTCACACTTAGCTAAACACAACCACATTAAATAAAAAGTAGCATGTACTCAGCAACAACACCAAAAAAAAAAAGGGAAAGAAAAATTGAAGCTAAAGAAAGCCAAAAAAAAAAAAATAAATAAAAATAAAAGGCAGTTGAGAGCAAAGCCGGGTGGTGGTGGTGGTGGTGGTGGTGGTGGTGGTGGCGCACGCCTTTAATCCCAGGACTCGGGAGGCAGAAGCAGGCAGATCTTTGTGAGTTCGAGGCCAGCCTGGTCTTCAGAACGAGACCCAGAAAAGGCACAAAGCTACACAGAGAAACCCTGTCTCAAAAAACCGAGAGAGAGAGAGAGAGAGAGAGAGAGAGAGAGAGAGAGAGAGAGAGAGAGTAAAGAACTGTGTGTTGAGGCTAAGTGTAGAGCTGAGGTAGAGTAATAAAGTCCTTGCACAGCGTGCACAAGGCCCTAGGTTCCATCTCGAGCACTGCAAACCAATATATATATATAAATTCTGAGGCTAAAGCTTTGTCTAGGAGATGTTTAAGTAACTATTTGAAAGACAATTTAAAATCCTAAGTGCAAATGTTCTTATCAAGAAAGAACTGGCTTTATTAGTTTCCAGCAAGATTCATAAAGGAGGAGCCCCTCTGTTTTGATGCCCTATACCTCTAAATTAACCTTGATGCAACATCTTTCTCCCTCTCCTTTTCTCTTTCTTTCTTTCTTTCTTTCTTTCTTTCTTTCTTTCTTTCTTTCTCTCTCTCTCTCTCTCTCTCTCTCTCTCTCTCTCTCTCTCTCTCTCTCTCTTTCTTTTTTTCTTGTTGTTGTTTTTCGAGACAAGGTTTCTTTATGTAGTTTTGGTGCCTGTCCTGGATCTCGCTCTGTAGACCAGGCTGGCCTCGAACTCACAAAGATCTGCCTGGCTCTGCCTCCCGAATGCTGGGATTAAAGGCGTGTGCCACCGCCATCTGGCACAACATCTTTCTTAAACCAGTCAATAAACAGTTAAAACTCAGCTTCTAAACTTATATGGAGATTCATATCCACATGAGGGTCACATAACTGAATGTGGGGGTTGTGAAGAATGTAGCAGTGAAGGGTTTCTGAGTGTGCAGTAACCAAAAGTTAATTTAAATTCAAATACAAAACAAATCCGAGGTGTTTCTGGCCATGCTCACCTGTGTGGCATCCCACAAATTCATTGTGTCCTTTGTTCCTGAGGGCACAAAACATGCACATTTAACACTTTCCATGTATGCAACAGCAACAAATGCTGACCTGAGAATGCTCTATTCCATGTATCACAGTGTTACTATTATCTCTACAGTGCTTTCTGCCAGCTTAGAGACACAGTGGTTTAATTATAGAGAATAGAGACTTTTACTATTTACTCATCATTATTTCTAATATGTAGGTATCAAACTAGTATAATTTTTGGATTGGATTGGATTCAAATGTTTGATTTTTAATTTTAGTATTTTATTTACTGACTTGGTTTTATTTTTTAATTTATTGAATGAGTTTTGGCTTGGGATTAAGACAGAGTTGCCAACAATCTCTGAAATGACAAACGAGTTTAAAGTTTGTAGTTCTGCCATTTTTCACTCTTCTGTCATTTTGCAAATTTTTACACGAAGTGATGGTTATAAAATCAAATAATAATCAGCTCTGGAGAATGTTGAAGATGTTCTGTGTCCTGCCAATAGCAAATAGTCTACCAAGAAGTAGTCTACCTTCTGTCACAATGAGCAAGCGCCTGCATCTCTTTAGCACACAGGTTTGTTTGTTTGTTTTTTTTAATCTTTAATATATAGTAAAATTGTCGAACGATGGTGGCACATGCCTTTAATCCCAGCACTTGGGAGGCAGCGGCAGATGGATCTCTGTGAGTTCGAGGCCAGCCTGGTCTACAGAGTGAGTTCCAGGACAGACTACAAAGCTACTCTAAAGAAAACCCCTGTCTCGAAATATATATATATATATAATTTAAAACATATTTCTTAATGATTGATTAGGAGTAAATGTTTAATATAGAACTACTTTCCATACCTGAAGTCATATAAAAATTTCTCAAGGGAAAGGGACCATGAATGAAAACAGTTTAAGAAACCCTGGTCTAGATGGTCCCTTTTGTTACCAAGCATGCCTGGCTAAGAAGCAACACACCTCTGTGTGACAATGGCTATTGTGATGATATTTTTTAAAGGGGTATATTATACAGATTGCAATTAAATTAGAATTATTGAAATTTATTTGTCATAAAAATGAAAATATATAGTTCCTTTTAAAATGAATTATTAACTAAATTGACAAAACAGGCTTTTTAGAGTCAGGAATCTCTTTTCAGGAGGGGGGGTGTTGTTGTTGTTTTGTTTAAGATAGAGTCTCTCTATGTAGCCCAGTCAGGGCTCCAACATGAGGTTCTCCTACTTAAGCCTCCTAAGTGCTAGAATTTCACCACACCCAACTGAGTAGAGGCTTGGGATGTGGAGGGATGCCCGTTCTGTTACCACTGGGTAGATGAGTGAAGTTCAGTCATCTGCTTCTCTTTGCTTGGATTAAGTGTCTCTCCTTCAACATGCTGGAAGAAACAGACATGTGCAGGTACATGGCAGATGGGTTTCAAGCATGGTGCTTTTTATGCAATCATGTTACTATGACTGGTCAAATGATAGGAAGCAGGATTACTGGAATCTAAGAGCTGTTTATATGAGAATCAGCAGTCTTTACTAACTCCATGCCTTGCACCTACCTACCTCACTAACTAGTAGAGAACCTTTAAGAGAGCCAAAACTTTCAGTGGCTTGTTCCATAAGTTATAGAAAATAAGCACTGTGGTTTTTGTTTCATCTGTATTTTTGCTTTTCTTCCTTTTTTTTTTTTTTTTGGAAATTGTTTTTTTCCTCAGATAATATATCGTGATTACAGTTTCCCCTCCCTCTGCTCCTCCCATTTCCTCCCCACCTCTTTTCGTATCTAGATCCACCCCCTTTCTGTCTTTCATCAGAAAACAGGCTTCTAAGAGATAATAATAAATTATAATGTAGTAAGATAAAACAAAAACTAACAAATTGAAATTGGACAAAATAAATAAACAGAAGAAAAAGAGCCCCCAAAAGCATAAGAATCAGAGACCAACTCAGGAATCCCAAAAAACATAAAAACACTAAACAGGAGGCCATAATACCTATGCAGAGGACCTAGTGCAGAGCTGCTGCAGTTTTTGTGAGTTCACATGAGCTTTGCTCATGTTGATGATTTAGAGGGCCTTGTTTTGTTGGTGTCCTCCATCCCTCTATCTCTTATATTCCCTTTGCCTCCTCTTCTGTGGTGTTCCTTGAGCCCTGGGGGAAGGGATTTGATGGAGACATCCCATTTAAAGCTATTTCAGTGTCTCTCACTCTCTACATAACATCTGGCTATGGGTCTTTATATTCCCCTCTGCTGCAGGAAGAAGGTTCTCTGATGATGGCCCAGCAAGAGACCAATCTATGAGTATAGCAGAATGTCATTAGGAGTCATTTTACTGTTTTTTTTTAGAGCAGTAGTACTTGGTTATATCCTAGGTCCCTGCGCTATTGGTCTCAGGTTTTTGGTTACCCAAGAAGTGTTGGATCTGGACATTTCATGGAGTTGTCCTTAAATCAAATCAGATATTGATTGGTTACTCCAACAGGCTTTGTGCCACCATTGCCCCAGTATATCTTGCAGACATAACAGCATCGTAGATCAAAGGGTTTGTGGCCGGGTTGGTGTTTACATTTCTCTTTGGTACCATGTAGAGTACCTTCCTGTACCAAAGGCAGAAGCACATAGGGATGAAGGCTTTATTTAGACACCAGCTCAATTTCTCTATGTTCAATGATTGAAGCCTGTGTTTTAAACTATGAGAGGTAAACATGGCTTTCATGTCAGGGAGACCTGGGGTTAAATGTTGGCTATATTTCTTATTGACTATATAATATCACAGGACTTGTTTCATCTTTACGTGGACTTCGTCACCTGAGAAGCACTTAAGTTAAGGTTGGCATGGGGCTGCCACATAGCTGCTTCTTACTAAGAAGTTCTGCCTTTGATCAATTAGTGAGCGGAACTTAAGCTTCTACTCTGAACCACAAACTTAAGGCAATAGAGATGGTCAATTGCTTCTCTCATAAAGGGTCTCATGGGATTGCAAATATAACGTATATAAAAATAGAATTATAAAGCTGAATATAGCTTTATAACTATTAAGATCCTCCTCAATAGCCCTTCCTTTTATAATGAGGGAAGCAAGGTTCAGAGGATCAAGGGACTTGCTCCAGGTCCCAGAACTAGTAGGAAGGTCAGAATTAGAGATGTTTTCCAGCCCCACTGTTTTTCACCTCTTGCCACTTTCAAGCTGCATGTTCAATAAAAAATGAAATTGATGTCCCTTAAGCTGGTGGTGAGAATACCATTCTCTACTATTACAATATATACTGTACTCAATGAGCATTAACACATAGCCTAAGTCAAATACTGTGACATGGCCCTCATTTCACCAATGACAGTACCAGAAAGCATGGAAAATCACCCTTGTTGCTGCAGAGGCGGATCAAAAGACCCAGGAAAAAGTTGGCAATAACTGAGGCTTCAGGACCCATCCAGAGTTGTTGGGGGAGACTGGGGATAAGGAGATGAGTTTCATATACCCTACCAGGGCCCCCAATCAGCTTTTCCAAGCTGGACCTGTGTCTCCTGATCCTAGGCCTCCCTGGAGGAGTCCTAAGATTCCCAAAAGCCTGATGCATTTCCCCATAACAGTTTATCCTTCACTCCCACAACCTGCCTTCTCTACTCCTACCCTCTACAGATGAGTACGTCTCCACGGTGTTGATGCTACAGTTCCCCCAGCCTGGGCACATAGGAAACAGAGTCAGGTGAATTCCTAACACCCCAAACCTCTAAAACCAAGTCAGCAGATAATGTACCTTGGGGGTGCAGGGGAAGAAAAACAGAAAGAAAGAAAGAAAGAAAGAAAGAAAGAAAGAAAGAAAGAAAGAAAGAAAGAAAGAAAGAAAGAAAGAAAGAAGAAAGAAAGAA